TTTTGAGGGGACAGTGAACTTCCCAGGACAGGGGCTATGAGCTGGTGGAGTGTGTGAGGACACGAGCACAGCACCTGAGCAGGTTGGTGATTGCCGAGTGCTTGTGGGTACATGTGCGTGTAACTAAGGTGGAAAGGGTGAGGGTCTTCACCAAAAGAATGGGGGATTTTGAGAAGAGTGAGGAAGAGGGAGAGGGGCAATTTCAGACCTGAAATACCCGCTTGGGGAACTTATTTTCAAAGGCTTTTGGGGACTCAGTGGTGTTGTTTGAACTGGAGAAACAATCTGGATAAGTTGTGGTTGGGTGAATATAACAGGTTATGCTCAATGAGCATTTGCTAATGTGCTAGGCTCTGTGCTAAGCGCCTCATGCAGAATACCTCATTTAATTCTCCTAAAAACTCTGTCAAGTGAGTTCCCTTCCAATTCCAGAACAGCTGTATTGAGAATGCCAGTCTCCCATACTTATTATGCCACATAGATGCCAGGTTCATTTATGTAGTTTCCTCTGTTCTCTTTGATATTTTTATTCTGAATAAGGTATTTTAAGGGAATTAACACAACAAGAGTCTCGTTGTGTAGGCCTCTACTTTAATTTACATCAATCACACACATTCTTATTTTCACTTACCAAGGAGGCTTGAAAAGTTCACATAGCGAGCAGGGAGCAAAATTTATTGGTGTCTAGATTTCCTTAGCAGCTCTGTTTTCCCTTTTTATTAGTGTCATTCCTGAAAAGTGTGATTTAGATGAGGAGGGTTCGCAATGTGTATGGGGAGGGGGAAGCAAAAAGAGAGAGATAGAGAGAGAGAGAGGGAAGGAGGGAGGGAGGGAGGAAGTTTTGAGACAGGTAAGCAAAAGGTTTGTAAAATTCTTAAAGAGAATGTTTCCAATGATTACTCACTTTCCTTTCAAGTTTCAGGATTTGTGCAGGGTGAGGCGAGGAAGTTCCAGTCTGATGTATGATTTCCAGGTTTCCGCATGAGTTTGAAAGTGGAGAATTAGAACTCCAAGAAGCGACCCTGCCCTTTGTCTGACTTTGCAGAGCATCAGTTTTCCAGGGCCCATTTCTGGCCAGTTTCACACTGGCCAGTCCCCGACAGAACCGGACGGTGTTAGTTGACATGAGAGGAGACTTGGGAATCTTTAGAAGGGTGACTAATGTTCCCAGGCCCAACCAGGACTGTTTAAATCTATTTTTCATTTATTTCCCACCTGCTAGAATACAGAGCTCTCTTCCCACTGATGATTTCTTAAGGTTTAAATGGCCTCCCTTGGATGTGTTAGTAAAAGTTTGAATGAAAAACACAGAAGCAAGGAAACCATTACATAGGAGAAACACCTTGTTTTTCTCTGACTATGGACGAGGGATCAGAATTTGTGGTGGAAACGGGGAGGGATAAGAGTAGCTTATTGCCGAAACCGGGTTGGCTCAGTGGATAGAGTGCCGGCCTGCAGACTGAAGTGTCCCGGGTTCGATTCCTGTCAAGGGCATGTACCTAGGTTGCGGGCATATCCCCAGTAGGAGGTGTGCAAGAGGCAGCTGATCGATGATTCTCTCTCATCGATGTTTCTAACTCTCTATCCCTCTCTGTGAAAAACCAACAAAATATATTAAAAAAAAAAAAAGAAAAAAAGAAAAAGAGTAGCTTATCTGTGGGATCCCTGTGTTCCCTTAGTGTCAAATCACAGTCCCACTATTTCTAGACACCTGCGGAATAACCTGTGACCTCAGTCCATTCAGACATCCATTCAGTTTGGTGAACCAAGAGTCAATCCAGCTGATGGACTGAGCTGGCTGCCATTTTGATGAGAGCCATGGTTTTTCAACCCCAGCTGGTGTGTTTGGAGGGCGGTAAGGAACTCCAAATCGGCACCTACCAGGAATGTTCCTGTTTCCCCATCAACATACACTTGCTCTGTTTTGGATATGCCTGTGGGGTTCTGAAAAGGCACCTCGACCATTCTCACCAGCCTCCCAACCCTCGATGCCAACCTTCGAGTTACATAGTCCCATTCAGGTGATTTGCAAGGCCTTAGGAAGTCTCCAGGCCATAGCAGAGTTATTAAAACAGGAATGAACTGATGGTTGCTTTTCTGAAAGAGAAAACACGAACAATACTATGCTTGCCCTAAATGACTGGGAGGATAATTTTTGGAGGCCTGGGGTCTGGTGCCTCAGTACATGTTACAGGAAAGCCTCAAAGCCCCCAGCATCCTTCACTTCTCTCAACTTCAGCACGGAAGCCACTTCCGGCCGGCTCTGGCAGTGGGGGGCTTTCTCTTTGGGCCGTCTGCTTTAGGACCGGAGAAAGCCAGCCTCCGGGGCCAAGCAGTGCGGCCCCCGCAGGAGGAGGCTGCGGACCATCCGGGGACCCACCGATGGCCAAGCCGCGTGATGGACCGAGATTTATGATCACCTTCCCAGTCAATTAAAATTCCAGATATTACCAAGGCAGAATTCAATTAAGGTTAATTGGGGCTTCTGAACACTGCCTTTCCAAAGGGAAACCATGATGGGATTGTGACTCCTCGTGGGCTTCCATCAGCTTTAAATAACTTTCCGGGCCTTTCTCTTCTTGGCACAAGACACAGCCGCTCCCGCTGCCTGGCTCCTGCTATTATTATTTGTTTCAGATGTTGATTTTGCTGTCATAAGTTATCACGGTGACTTATTTGCTTTTTTGGCTTTGTCGTCTTCTTAAAAACAAAACAAAAAAAACCCAAACAAACCGCCAAACGAAACAAAACTCCCAATGCTCTCAGCAGACCGGAACCCTAACAAAATCATAACCCTGAGCCGTGCGGGAGCCACGGTAGTCTGACATGAAAGAAATATAGTCGTTTGGAAGATTGTGACAACATTTCAGAAGCAATTACCCAAACTGGAAAAACAACCCATTTCTCTCCCTTTGCCATTAAGGTGGATGCAAAGGTTTGCAAACATTGTCAGTGAAGGGAGAGAATGGAGCAGGGGGAGGGTTGGGGGAAGGGGGGAGAACAGGTGCAAACAAGAATTAAGATGCACGTCAGGCTTCCCATCCCACCCTAAATGTTATTTCCTTGTCGTCCGGGGCTATTGTGACAGTTGTGAGCACGGATGATTGAACTGGGAGAACACCTGGGACGGGGCCTCCCTCACCCACCGCAGAGCATGTTTCCGCAGCTCACAGAGCCGTCTGGAGCAGGGGGCGAAGAGTAATCTCAGCAGCCTCTTCCTCCGCACCTCCAACCTATTGTTCATTGCTGGAGACTGGTAACAAAAAGCCAAAGAGGAATTTTCTTTTTGAAAAGAGGCAATAAGCGTGTGAGCAGGGGAGAGACGTGGCTGGCTACGGCTCAGATGTTCTGTGGTTCTTCCGAGGAGCCAGCTACGCCTTTGCCCCAGGGAGATGGGGGGCGCTTCCTCGGGGAACTGGCAGCTCCGTCCTGGGCTCTCAGAGCCAGGCCTCTCCTGGTAGGAGTGCTCGCTGGGGCCCGCGGGCCAGGGACACGTTCATTGTAGAGAGGGCTTTGGACATGGCCATGGTTCTGTGAGCGCCGAGCCAGGGCTTAGGTGAGACAAGCAGAAAGGCTGCCGATTCGTGTCCTTTCCTTCTGTGCCTCCCAGCAGGCGGGACGACTGGGCTGTGGACAGGCGGGGGCATGTGAGTTATCCACTCGGCTGTGGATGGGGCAATTAACAGGTCTAGGCAGGGTCGCACGATTTAAATGAGCTCCTTTTCAGTGCCTCTTCGTTCAGATTGCTTCTGCCCCTTTGCAAGAAGGGCACACATTGGAATTGTTTTCTAGGGATTGACGACCTAAAAATAAAGGGCCATGGTGAGAGGCAACCAGCATTTATTTGATATTAAAAAAAAAAAAGAATAGCTACTTGGGAAGCACTGATTCAGGCAGAAGCCCAAATGGTGTTTTGAGTAGGAGACAAGAAAAAGAAAAAAAGAAAAAAAGAAAAAGGTATTTATGACAAAGGGAAGGGGAATACTCCATCAATAGGAGGAAGGCATTTCTGTTGGCAGAGAAAAGCTAACATAGTGATGCTAATTTCAAACAATGTTTTTAATTTTTAGTCTGGTAGTCATCAGTCTGGTAGTCAAAACATCTGCTTCCTTATCATTCCAGAAACAGTTCTTTGGGACACGATGATGCTTTAGGTCCTGTCCACAGGTTGTTTAGACCCAACTAAAGAGTCCAAAGGTTTGAGCAGTAAGACGTGCAAGGTAGTTCCTCTGGGATTTCAGCTCCGGCTCCATTTTAATGTGGCTCCATTTATGTTATTATTATTTAAAAATATTTTTATTGATTTCAGAGAGGAAGGGAGAGGGAGAGAGATATGGAAACATCAATGATGAGAGAGAATCATTGATCGGCTGGCTCCTGCACGCCTCCTACTGGGGGTCGAGCCCACAACCTGGGCATGTGCCTTGACTAAAATTGAACCCGGGACCCTTCAGTCCACAGGCTGATGCTTTATCCCCTGAGCCAAACTGACTAGGGCACATTACTATTATTATTTTTTTTTTCAACTTCCAGCATTAATTTATGTTTCTTAGAATTTTGATACAATAACTGCAGCAAGACAGTGCTCAATACTATACAAATCTCACTTAAGGTTCTTAAACTACCACAACATTTATAAATGTGAATTCACATATCAGTAAAACTGGAAAACTAAAATTTGACATACCAACAAATTTACTTAATATTGATGTAATTTTAAAATTTTATGTGAACATATGGCCTTTACAGAATTTGGCCTTTAGAAACTAGCTTACAAACACAAAGTTACTCTTTGCTTACCTGTCCTAACCTATTTAGTGTTACACAAACAGACCCCCTTTCCCATAGCTCTAACCCAGTTCCCACCCAGGAAAAAAAGTTAACAGAACTATCCAATTGTTAAAGTATCAGCAGATATAACACTGGAAATAGGTCATGGGCAATTCTGAAGCCTTTTACCTGAGTAGTATAACAGAAAGTTGACCAAAAGAACACACAGGTTTCTCATTAAACTTTGTTATTTTAATGGGTCTCAAACTTCTGTGACAGATTTTTGGTCATGTTGTTTCCATTAAAAAGTACTGATTTTAAAAACTAATAACTTAAAAACTGCCACACACACAAAAGAACCAAATGGTCCACAAAACATTCTTCTTTTCTTCTCAAGGTTTTACAATGCATTGTAATTATTAACCAGTCTTTTACTATTAAACTTAAATGGCCAATTGAGACAAACAGTTCTGAGACCGTTCTTCTACCACCGATTAAGACTGGGGTGGCAGGTATGTATTGGGAATAATATTCATTTAGCCTTCTGAGTTTTCTGGGCAGACTTGGTGACTTTGCCAGCTCCAGCTAGCTGCCTTCTTGTCCACTGCTTTGATGACACCCACAGCAACTGTCTGTCTCATGTCACGAACATCGAAACAGCCCAGAGGAGGGTAGTAAGAGAAGCTCTCAACACACACGGGCTTGCCAGTAATCATATCAATGATGGCAGCATTACCAGATTTCAAAAACGTGGGGCCATCTTCCAGCTTTTTTCCCAGAACAACAATCAATCTCCTTCAGCTCAGCAAATTTGCAAGCAATGTGAGCTGTGTGACAATCCAGCATAGGTGCATATACAGCACTGATCTGGCCTGGGTGGTTCAGGATAATCACCTGAGCTGTGAAGCCAGCTGCTTCCATTGGTGGATCATTTTTGCTGTCACCAGCCACATTGCCATGGCGAACATCTTTTTTAAAAAAAATATATTTTTTATTGAATTTTTACAGAGAGAAAGGGAAAAGATAGAGAGTTAGAAACATCAGTGAGAGAGAAACATCAATCAGCTGCCTCTTGCACATCCCCTATTGGGTATGTGCCTGCAACCAAGGTACATGCCCTTGACAGGAATCAAACCTGGGACCCTTCAGTCTGTAGGCTGATGCTCTACCCACTGAGCCAAACCAGTTAGGGCAGGCGAACATCTTTGACAGACACGCTCTTGATGTTGAAGCCCACATTGTCCTCAGGAAGGGCTTCACTCAAAAGCTTCATGGTGCATTTCAACAGACTTTACTTCAGTCGAAACATTGACTGGAGCACAGGTGACCACCATGCCGGGCTTGAGAACACCAGTCTCCACTCTGCCCACAGGAACAGTACCAATACCACCAATTTTGTAGACATCCTGGAGGGGCAGATGCAGGGGCTTGTCAGTTGGATGAGTTGGTGGCAGGATGCAATCCAGAGCTTCAAGCAGTGTGGTTCCACTGGCACTGCCATCTTTACGGGTGACCTTCCATCCCTTGAACCAAGACATATGAGCACTTGGCTCCAGCATGTTGTCACCATTCCAACCAGAAATTGGTTCAAATGCCACTGTGTCAGGGTTGTAGCCAATTTTCTTAATGAAGGTACTGACTTCTTTAACAATTTCCTCGTATCTTTCCTGGCTGTAAGGGTGGCTCAGTGGAATCCATTTTGTTAACACCAACAATCAGCTGCTTCACACCCAGTGTGTAGGCCAGGAGGGCATGCTCACGGGTCTGTTCATTCTTGGAGATGTCTGCTTCAAATTCACCAACACCAGCAGCAATAGTCAGGACAGCACCGTCAGCCTGAGACGTGCCTATCATGTTTTTGATGAAGTCTCTGTGCCCTGGGGCATCAGTGATGGTTACATAATGCTTGCTGGTCTTGAATTTCCACAGGGAGATATCAATGGTGATATTTGCTCCCATTCTGCTTTCCGTTTATCCAAGACCCAGGCATGCTTGAAAGAGTCGTTCCCCATCTCAGCAGCCTCCTTCTCAAATTTCTCGATGGTTCTTTTGTCGACCCCACCACATTTGTAGATGAGATGACCGGCAGTGGTAGACTTGCCGGAATCTACCTGTCCAATGACAACGATGTTGATGTGAGTCTTCTCCTTTCCCATCTTGAGTTTGAGTTAATGGTGGTTTTCACGACACCTGTGTTCTGGTGGCAAACCCATTGTGAAAAAGCGTTACTATTTATTTATTTATTTATTTATTTATTTATATATTTATTTTTAACAAGACAGTGATAGTCTCAGGAGCACAAGCAGCCCATACATCTCTTTAATCTAGGAAGGAAGGCACCTACTCTCGCACTTCTCAGTTCCCATCCCCTCTCTTTTATTTCAGGCAGGTTGGAAAAGGAGAGCCCGGAAAACGAGAGGTTCTATCGTTGCATCAAGGTTGAGGGGGAAGTGTCTGTAATCAGAAATCTGGGGTATAATTATATGATAGCCAGGAGAAACAGGCAGGTGGAATGAGCCTCCAGAGCCCGATTGCTAATGAATTCTCTCTGTTCCTTACGGGAAAGAGCCCCATTTGTAAAATTAAAAGTCAGTGCCTCTTTGATGGGAAGATCTGCGCGCTGCCGTCCTCTTCTCCTGTGCTGTGCATTTGGGAAGGAGAGCGGGAAGCTGGCCCTGGAGACAAGGGCACCGGCACGGAACAGGCAGCCTGCTTTCCCCTCGTTTCAGGGCCGTGTGAGCCGTTTTCCCAGAGAACTTGACTGGTGGTGCGTGCCTGGCTGTGCTGAGGAAGAGGGCCTTCTGCACACACGTCGACACGCCGGGCGATTCACAGGAGAAAACAATTGAGACCAGTCTTTTGGCATTGCTGCGTAGCCACCGTAAGTGGTTGGCTGAGTTTTTCTCTCCTCCTCCTCCTCCTCCTTCTTCTTCTATTTATTTTATTGATTTTCTACAGGGATGAAAGGAGAGGGATAGAGAGTTAGAAACATTGACAAGAGAGAAACATTGATCAGCTGCCTCCTTCACACCCCCTACTGGGGAAGTGCCAGCAACCAAGGTACATGCCCTTGATGGAATCGAACCTGGGACCCTTCAGTATGCAGGCAGACACTCTATCCACTGAGCCAAACCAGTTAGGGCAGTTTTTCACTTCTTATCCTGATGCCAGGGGTATGTGCTGTCAGGGCTGAGTGTGTGGGTATGTGTGTCAGCTGACAGAAGTGCAGGGGCAGCGGCCACCAAGCAGCGCAGATGTTGCCATGATCTGGTGGTGGGGTTTCTAATGGAAACACTTAAAATTTGAGGAGACCAAGAAACATCTACTTCATAGACCTGCAGGGATACCTGAAGCCCGACCTTTGCATTTCTTTTGGGTCACATAGTAAATGCCACTGATTAGCCTGAGCCAACTGGAAGGAAGGCCTGGGGACAGCTGTTTGCTGTCACCATCAGTGCAGGCTGGAGAGAGAGCCATGTTTAAGTTTTTCGGAAATTTGTGAGCTAGATGTTAAACGCAGCCTTCACTATTAATGATTTAATTATATAATTTTATAATTCAATAAATTATACTAGGAACAAAGGCAGTAAGTACTCAGAACTTACCGTTCCCTAATTATTTTATGATGATCGATACCTGCAGGCTATTTACACCTATGGTATCTGTGTGGAGGAAATGCTGTATCCTGGTGACTGTGCGTCTCTTCCCGACTCCGCGGTCCGTGACGTCATGTTGGTCACTTGAAATGAGCCACAGTGACAGTATTCACACCACCCAATGGGAAATCCTGCAGGCCAGGGCTTTTTTCTTTGAGCCAGTGTGCTGGTGAGCATTTACCAGCACACCCCTGTGAGTGTGTGTGTGTGTGTGTGTGAGTGTTGGTGTGCTGTGAATGTGTGAGTGTGTGCATGTGAGTGTGTATGAGTGTGTGTGTGAGTGTGTTCTTTGGTGGCATAAGGATTTATATGCTGAAAAAGCAAAGATGCTTGTTTTCAAGTTGGGGGAGTGTCTTAGCTGGGACTGCTACAGCAAGAAGACCATAGACGGATTGGCTTTACCAACAGATATTCTTTCAGCTCTGGAGGCTGGGAAGTCTGAGGTCACAGTGCCTGTGTACTCCGGTTCTGGTGAGGGCTGTCTTCCTGTTTTTATCACATGGCAGGTGGTTGGGGGGTGGATGGAAGCAAGCTCTTGTGTCTCTTCTCGTAAGGACACTGGTCCCATTATGAGGGCTCTGTTACCATGGCCCGAACACCCCCCAAAGACTTCATCTCCAAATAGCACCACACTGGGGAAATAGGGTTCAACCTCTGGGAGGACACACACATCCAGTCCATAGCAGGGGCATGGGTGGGGTGGGATAGGTTCCTGGGGACCCTGGGCTTCCTGGGAGGAGAGGGAATGCTGTCCAAGGACAGGAGGCTTCCAAAAGTCAAGTCCCTGAGCTTCGTGGTTCTGTCTGGGGCAGCCTGAGGTAAGAGGGGCCTCCCAGAGCCCCTCTCTTCTGCTTTCTTTCTCCCCTTGCCCTTCCCACATCAGCATTGGCCAGTGGTCCATAACAATACCTAGTTTCACTCTTTATGAGGTGAAACTTCTGACAGACTGTGCATTCTGTGGCTGGGTTATGTTGTTAACTGAGTGAATAATGTTGAAGCCCTAATCTCCCATGTTTTGGTGTTTGGAGGTGAAGTCTTTGAGAGGTAATTAGGCTTAATGAGGTTATGAGGGTGGGGCCCTATGATGGGGATTAGTTCCCTTCTAAGAAGAGGAAGAGACTCTAGAGCTCTCTCCTCAAGCAGGCATGGAGGATAGACCATGTGAACTCACATGGGGAAGCAACTCTCACCAGACACCGAATCTGCCGGCACCTTAATCTTGGACTTATAAACTCCAGAACTGTGAGAAAAGAATATCTGTTGTGTAAGCCTCCTGGTCTATGGTGTTTTGTTACAGCAATCTGAACTAAGACAGATTATGAGTATAATTTAGTACAGACCGGTTGGGGCGATTTCAAGGTCTTTGTCTACACACAATGTAAGAAGCAGGTGAGGATTCCAGAGTGCACTGCGTGTCCACTCAGCTTTCAGGAGGATGATGGGAAAGTTGCCGAGCTGGGGACCAGGAGGCCTGGCCTCAAAGTCAGGCACTGCACTTGGAGCTGTGGATTATTGGGCAGGAGACAAATAGCCTGTGTTCGCTCAATATAAAACGGCATGCTCTTCATGATGCGGAATCAAAAAGGAAGGCTGTTTGAAAATTGTAAAACAACCCTGGCCAGGTGGCTCCGTTGGTTGGAATGTTGTCCCACATACAACAAAACAGGCGGCAGGTTCAATTCCAGGTCAGGGCACATCCCTAGGTTGTGGGTTTGATTCCTGGTTGGGGTGCGTGTGGGAGGCAACCGATCCATGTTTCTTTCTCACATCGATGTTTAACTCTCTCTAAAAATAAATTTTAAGAAAGGAAATTGTAAAACATTGAACAATGTAAGGTGTTAGTAGTCCGGGGGCATCTTTATTTTATTTTATTTTTTTTTAAACCTATAATTTCAAAACAAGTGCAGTATTTAGTTAATGGGGCATTTTTTTATATTGGAAGTTCTATAAGTATGTACATTCAAATGTTTTGTCTATAGATAGAACCCCGGGCATCTTTATTTTTAAAAATATATTTTTATTGATTTCAGAGAGGAAGGGAGAGGGAGAGAGAGATAGAAACATCAATGATGAGAGAGAATCATTGATTGGCTGCTTCCTGCACGTCCCCACTGGGGATGGAGCCCACAATGGGGCATGTGCCCTTGACCGGTATTGAACCCAGCACCCTTCAGTCTGCAGGTCAACTCTATCCTCTGAGCCAAACTGGCTAGGGCCACGGGGCATCTTTTAATCCACAAGCCCAGTGATAAAGGATATTTTTCTAAAATTTTGGAACTCTGTTTCTCCTATAGCCTTCCTTCTTTCTCCCTAATATTTGTGACTCTTGTTATTTCCTTTATTTTGGTCTTTCTTTTTATCCTCTCTCTCTATGTTTCTAGAACTCTTTAGTCCTTCACCCCTCTCTTTTTATCCCCTAAATTCTATTATAAAATTAGAATATTTTGAGCTTATTCTTTTTATTCAAAAAATGTCAAAATCACCTCTTGTTACTTGCTCACTAAAAATGCACCCCCCCCCCCCCCCCCCCCCGCAATAGGAGCATTTTAGGATTGGGGGACCTTGTCGCTCTCCTTGACTCAGTGGCCCTGGTGCACTCACCCTGGGAGTGTGCTGCAGAAATTGCTAGGGGAGCTCCTCTTGCAAAAGCGGGGCTGCGGAGGCTTGGGATCCCCGCCGCCCTGGAGGGCGGGCGGGCAATTAACCTTGGCAGTGGAGCAGAACCCACTTAAATTTGTGCCTGCAAATCTGCACCTCTCCTTAGCAAATGCGATGGGAAGAATCCAGATTTTCATCAAAAATAAATTAAAACGGGAGCCCTCACATTATGAAAGACTTTGCGGGGAGATTTGTTTCGTGAGCAACTCTTGTCAGTGTAGTTAAGCCGTGTTTTGATTCGCATAAATTCATTACCGATAGGGCTTTGGCCAGCAGCACGCTGACAGGCGTGCACCTGGGATGAGCTGCGGAGGCGGCTCACGTTCTCAGTAAGTTTATTAGTCAGAATCACTCCCATTTCTCATGGCACTTTATTGCTTTTTCAGTTTCCTTCTTTGAAGGGTGAGGTGGAGCCCAGGAGAGCTGGTTGTGCTACTTCTGCCCACCGGGGCGCAAATACCCCAGTGTATTTGGGCTCAGAGGTTCAGCCGGACCCTCACGGTCCCCTTCTGAGCTGCCACCTGCTTCTTCTTGGGGGCCTTTCCCCTGTTCCCAGTCAGTCTGGTCGTAGAGGACAAGGATCTTCCTCTGGTTTCCCGTTTCCTCCAGCAGGTGGGGCACCTGGCCCACGGGCTCCAGGGATGCTCACCCTGGGAAACAGGACAGGAGGGAGGACACAGCCCCGAGGGGCAGCACAGCCCAGGCATCTCCTCTCCTCCTCACGGCAGCGGGCCATGACCACAGCTCTGTGTTCTCCTGAAGCCATGACCGCAGCTCCGTGTTCTCCTGAAGCCATGATCACAGCTCCGTGTTCTCCTGAAGCCATGACCGCAGCTCCGTGTTCTCCTGAAGCCATG